GATGTTCCTGAAGAGTGCCCTAAAGCATCTATTGTAGTAGGCTCAATGTTTCTCCCCAGTTTATGTATACATAGAACTTACAGAAGTAATCTAGTTAGGATGAAGTAAAAAAAGGGTTAGGGCGGGCCCTGATTCAGGGACTACTGTCTTTCAAGAGCAGAACTCCATGAAACAGAACCAGGGAGAAGGCTTCATGATGGTGCTACAACCAAACAATGCTGACGAGCACCAGAAACTAAAAAGAGCAAGCAAGACTGCTACCGCCTGCATTTCGACTTTGAACTTCTGATCTCCAGAATCTCGAAGGGATGGATGCATTCCTGCCATCTTGAGTCACTCAGCTCATAGCACTGCATCCTTTTCAGGGAGGCCAGGCTACTGGGTGTGTCAGAGGGCAGAAGGAAAGGTAAGATTACCAGGGAATAGTGGCATCCCTTCTAATCTCTGCACCATGGAGGATACCTAGCTGCTTCCTCAAGGTAAAACTGAGGACTCATTGTCTATAGAACACTTTTCTATTGTTGTCATGGAACCAGAAAATGCTTTGGTATGATGTAGTAAGGGTATTTGTTAGGAATCTCAATCTCTCTCTCCTCACCCTCTCTCCTTCCCTCCTCCTCCCTCCCTTCTTTCCTCTCTTATTCCCTCCATTCCTCCTTCCCTCACTCCCTCTCCCTTTCACCTCGAACTCACACATGAACACATGAGCACACGTGTGTGCACAAAACACACAGAAACACTAAAAAAATAGAGATGGTTATGGTGTTAAAAAGATTCACTAAAATCTGAAAGATTATCAAGCCATCTCTATAAAATGGACTATGAAGCAAGACAGTGGCAATCTCAGAGCCTGACAGAATTCACACTGGAAGTTTATTAGGGAGTGTATGACTTCAGAGAGACCACATGGTCTCATCCTGCCACTGAACAGAAAACATTAATTCAGTTTGGTCACCTGGGACCCATTTAGTGCACTAGAGCAGTAATTTGCTAAATGGGTCCCTCATAGTAAAATAGAATGATTAAAGACTGAGCAATTTAGGATGGTAAACCACTAGTAGCTCAAGGGATATACAAATGTGAAGCTATAATTAGATCCCTTGTTCAAAATGTACAAACTAAATATATTACACGGTATATTGTATCTTTCTGAGTTTATTTCTGGACACAGCTGAGCCCCTAACAGTTCAGATAGAAACTATCCCAGCTATCAATTCATGCTTCCATTAAAATTCCAACTGTTGTAATAGAAAATAATTTCAAAGGTGGTTTCTTTTATTTTAGATGTAAGGACGCACCCAGGGTTAACCTAGAGTTATAAACCATCCCGCAGCAGAAAGTAATGGAATATTGCGTTTTTGCTCTCTGAATTTAGCTGTGGAGATATTTTAGCAAGTTGATAACCTTTACATCTGACGTTTCTTGTCAGGATTATCTTTTAGCTTTTTAAGCTGTGATTCTTTGGGGCTGGTAATGTGGCTCCACAGATAAAGCCACTTGCCTCTAAGTCTGACAATCAGGGTTCAATTCTTGGGATGCACATGGTGGGTGCTTACTACACCTGTGGTTAGTCCTCTGTCTTCAGTATGTGCACCAGGGCACACGGTTTAAAAAAAGATGGAATTCTGTTTTGTGCCTGCTCAGGAGGAGTAGGAATACCTGGGTTCAAGCTCCAAAGCGAAGTGATTAGTTAGAATGTGTGGCAGGCAGAAGTAGCAGATTACATGCCTGGAATGCTTCAAAGGGTAGGGCAGAGTGTGAAATGCTGTGGGTTACAGTGATGCTTTCCCACCCCAACTTTTTGAAGCTGCCAGGAAAAATTATAAAAACAGAAACAAGATCCTTTTTATTCATAGCAAGTGTATAGTTTGGGCTGGTACAGAAGTCTGAGTGATATTCTACGTTACTAGAAACTTCCATGCTTAAGTTCCATTGCTCTTTATCAATTTGCTATTTCAACCACAGGGTTCTGTTTTATCTTGTGTTACAAGGATGTCTACTCTTTCAGAAATTCTCATTTTCTTTCTTTCCTTTCATATCACTATTTAGTCTCTTCAGGAAGGTTTAGGATCACATTGTGGGCGTTTCTTGCCATTCTTGCTATTCCTACCAGCGGGATTCCTGAGAAGTATTGGGATAGGCCATTTTTCAGATTACAGATTCTATGCACGAAATCTGGCAAAACTGCATTTGTTTTACATCTGCTTTAAAAAATATTTTCTTGTAGCACTAATTCCAATTGGTCTTAATAATAAAAACTCAGTCAGATATTGGGGTTAAAGCCGAAGATCAGAGAAGCAAAGAGGCCAGCCACTAGAGTTCTCACCTCTACCAATGCTTAGACCCAAAAAGCGACCCTGTCCTCAGTGTGACTGCAGACTGCATCTGTCTCCACCAAACCTCAGACTGCACTGAGCTCCTGTCTCCTCCCGCCTTACATTCCTCTCTAGTACTGGGATAAATTCGCAGGATCCCAAGCGCTGAGACCCTGAGACCATCTTTGTGTGAGCTTTGTTTCTCTTTTAGATTGGACAAATTTCATGTAGTTCAAGATGGCCTTGAATTAACATGAGATTGGTCTACCTCTGTCTCTCGAGTGCTGGCATTAAAGGTGTGTACCACCACTGCCTGGCCTCTCTGGCTGACTAGTATGGCTAGTTTTGCACTCTGATCTTTAGGCAAGCTTCATCTGTCAGATCATAAACACAATGCCACCACATTTTCTTGACAACTTAATTTATTATGCGTATGGGTATTTTGCCTGCATGTATGTCGTGCATTTCATGCATACAATGCCCCCAGGAGGCCAGACTAAGCATCGGATTCCCTGGAAGTAGAGTTACACATGGTTGTGAAACACTATGTGGGTGCTGGGACCCGGAACCCAGGTCCTCTGCTTGAGTAGCCAGTGCTGACAGCTGCTCAGCTGTTTCTCCAGCTCCAACACCCATTGTTCTTCTGTGTGGTGGGGATACTTTACTTTTCTTTATTTGGAGATGGTTACTTTTCTCACTGCTGTAGTAAGCACCTAACAAAAGGTTGTCAGGTACCTCCATAGGAAGGGCATACTCTGGCTCACAGCTGGAGGGTAGAGAACGTCATAGCAGAGAGGATATTGTGGCCTGAGCACAAGACAGCTGGGCACACTGGATCTGCGGTCAGGCCACTTGCAGTTTAGGTGTTAAACCTTTCCGAAATCACCCTCATAGACACACCCAGAGGTATTTCCCTGGTGATTCTAAGTCCGATCAAGCTGGATTTAATAAAGTGAGTTAATTCATTGCTCTAACAGTGTCTGGTAACTATGACATCTTTTTTGAGACAGGGTGTCATGGTGTAGACCAGGCTGGCTTCAGACTCTCAGACATGGGACATTCTCTGTCTCCTGAGTGCTAGGATTAGAGATACTGCCACTCAGGTTTACTCTAGCTGCACACCCACATATATATGTGTCCATACACCTATATATACACATATATTGTGTGTATACACATATGTATATATATATTATGTTACTATAATATTGCCTGCCTCCTCTCCCAGGGAGGAGTTAATCTTTTAAAGAGACTTATTTTATGTAAATGAGCGATGGTCTGGAGTACGTCTATGCATCACACAGGTCACTGTCTCAGAGGGAGCTCTCATATGGGTTCTCTGCAAGTGGTGCCCATGCTCTTAGCCATCTCTCCGGATCCAGAAATAGGACTTTAAAAGGATATGGGAAATAATTTTTAGGAATTCCAAGAATTATTGAAAAAATATTTTTTGTTCTGGCGGCTTTCTCCATCCGTCTTCAATGAAACCGTGTAGATAACTTATAAAACAAGGTGCCTTGACAGGCGTTTCAGTTCTTGAAATGAAGGCAGGTCCCGGATGGTACATAATTAAAACTCTCAAATGTGAGTATCTAGGTTTATAAAGCAACCAGGGGAGCGGCAACTCAATGAACAAAGTTCACTCAATTATTTCAAATAGTAAGTTGCCGGGGACCTGCTTGTTTCAACCAATAAAAAAGTAAGTTTTCAGATCATACATTGTAACAGGAAACAAACAACAAAGGTGAGCTCAGCACCGGGGAGGCTGAGGTAGGAGGTTTGGAGTTTGAGAGTAGGCTATACTGGGAGACTTTGTTTCAGTAACCCCTCCTGAATCTACGATCTCACTTCCTTCTACGTCCACTGCTTTCTGTGTCATTAACCTCCTTTTAAACTGAAAACCATCGGGATACTCGGGATACAAGAGCCCAACCAAGTCCTTAGCTATTTTTGTCCCAAAGCGAGGGATAAGATGGGTTTAATTTTAGCGGTTTCCACGAAGCACGTTCAACCCCCTTCTAAAGAAGATTTTGCAAACGCCGCTAGTCTTCCTGGGCCTTGGAAAGGTCAGGAAGACCAGGCCAGTGATGCTGGGGACTGTGTATTTGAGTCTCACACAAAGCCTTGACTACAGCTTAGAGTCCCTGAAGGCCCGCACTTTCAATTAGCCGGGAAAATAAAACTCATCTGTAAAGCTGGCGAGGAGCAAGTCAATAAAAAACGCCCATCCGGCCGAGTTCAACAGCAGAGGGCACAACACCCACCAGCGACTGGCTGAGAGGGTGGGCAGAATCTGACGATCGCTGGGTCTTGTAGTTCGCTATTGGTCTCTTGTGCATGCGCTCCCGGGATCTGAACTACAACCCCCACAATGCATTGCCTCTCCCTCTTGCCACCTCACACCACCTCTCCTCTGGTCCGCGGAGAAACCTCCTGGGGAAACAGCCCCGCCCCGCCCCCGTACGCACGCGTCACGTTTGTTTACCCTGAGGCTCCGCCCCCAGACTCCCGCTCTCCCCGCTCCGCCCAGGAATGGCGTCATGCCTTGGCAAAATGCATATTCATGAGCAACTCCGCCCCGCCCGCCTTCCCGCGCTTCATTAATATTCATGACTCGAGCCTGGGCCGCAGCTCCCGGGCGCAGAAGCTGTCCGGCAGCGGGCGGGGCCTGGCGCTGGGGAGCCCGCGGACCCGCGGGGAGGGCGTGTGTGTGAGTGTGAGTGAGTGTGTGTGTGTGTGTGTAGGGAGGGGGGGACGGTGGCGGCGGAACGGGCGGGCGCGCGGGATGGAACACCGAGACACCGACGGAATGCTCCGGATCGCCACATAATCCTCTGGAACGGCCGCGCCGAACGCCATCGGCGTCTCCCTTCTCCGCGTGCCGCCGCCGCCGCCGTCTCCCACCTTCGTCTCACCTCCTCCTCCTCCTCCTCCTCCCGCTGCTGCCTCCGGAGCTGGGGGGGCGACGCGAAGCCCCGCGACGATGGAGCCCGCCGCCGCAGCTCCGGCACAGCGACTCGCGGACCCGGCGGGTGAGGACCGAGCCCCGGCGGCGGCGGCGGCGGCGGCCGAGGGCGCTCGGAGTCCGGCTCCCGCGCTGAGCGTGGCGGCCGCGAGCGGCGGGAACGGCGGCGCGGCGCGAGAGCAGGCCCCCTGCGAGGCGCCGCCGGGGCCAATGCCCGGCCGCGCGGGAGGCACCGGGCGCAGGCGGCGGCGCGGGGCACCTCAGTCCTCGGCCGCTGGGGCCGTCCCGGTGCCCGCGGCCGGCGGCGGCGGCGGCGCCAATTCGCTGCTGCTGAGGAGAGGGCGGCTGAAGAGAAATCTGTCGGCCGCCGCCTCGGCGTCCTCGTCTCCGTCCTCGGCGTCCTCGGCCGCCGGCGGCCTCCCGGCCTCCTGCTCGGCCTCGGCGTCTCTGTGCACCCGGAGCCTGGACAGGAAGACGCTGCTCCTGAAGCACCGGCAGCTGCTGCAGCTGCAGCCGTCGGACAGGGACTGGGTGAGGCACCAGCTCCAGCGGGGCTGCGTGCACGTCTTTGACCGCCACATGGCCTCGTCGTACCTGCGCCCTGTGCTCTGCACGCTGGACACCACGGCCTCCGAGGTGGCGGCACGGCTTCTGCAGCTGGGCCACAAAGGCGGCGGGGTGGTGAAGGTGCTGGGCCAGGGGCTGCCTCCCGCCGCCGCCCCTGCCGGCAGCGATCAGACCGCGGACGCCGGACTCGGGAGGGACGTGGAGCCACCGCCCTCGAGTGGCACTCCCGGTGCTGTCGGGGTCCCCGCGCGCGCGCCTCCCGCCGATCTGCCGCTCCCCGGGGGCGCCTGGACCCACCGCGCACCCCGCGCCAGCTCCGCGCCCTCGGACTCCAGCCCCGGAGAGCTGTTCGCGGGTGGCCCCGGTTCCCCGCCTCGCGCCCCGCACCCGGCCTCCGACACAGAGAGCTTCAGCCTGAGCCCCAGCGCCGAGAGCGTGTCGGATCGGCTGGACCCCTACAGCAGCGGTGGCGGCTCCTCCTCCTCCGAGGAGCTAGAGGCTGCCGAGCCGGCCTTGGGCTCGACCGGGGCTCCTGGGCCGCCGTCCCTCCGTCCCGGCCGCACCGCTCAGCCTCGACCGCCTTCCCCGAAGACCTCGCCTTCCCCGCAGCCGAAAGCCCCGAGGGGGGTCGATGGCACTGGCGGGATGGCCGCCCAGGGTCTCAAAGAGGACAAGGCGGTGGCGGCTGCAGCTCCAGCCGGTCCTCTGTCGACTCCGGGGAGGATCCGGGAGACCGCGCAAAAGACGACTTCGCCGCCTTCCCTGTATGTACAGTTTCATGGAGAGACTACCCGGCGCCTAGAGGCGGACGAGAAGCCATTGCAGATCCAAAATGACTACCTCTTCCAGCTGGGATTCGGGGAGCTGTGGAGGGTGCAGGAGGAAGGCATGGACTCGGAGATTGGCTGCCTCATCAGATTCTATGCAGGTAAGAAGTTGCCCGCGCGTTGCTGTGTGCTTTCCAGCCCTGGCAGGGAGCGATGCAGGATTCAGGGGGCCTGGTGAGTCTGTCTGATACCCCCTTTCTAGCTTGTTCACATGCCGTCTGTGGAAGTACTACATCGAGCATTCTTTGAATCTGCAAGCTGTAGTTGAGTGTCCAGGGCTGAGCTTGGAAACCAGGTGGATGGGGTGACAAAGTCACCTGGAAATACAGGAAACAGGTTAACACCTGAGAGAGGTAGCAGCCCGTAACTGTAAAGGTGCTTCCTCCAGGCCGCTGCTCTGGCTCACTGGGTTGCAGACAGTTTGGGATTTCAGGAAACTATCTGACGTTTGTTATATGGACAGAGGACAGCGACCAACGAAAAATGTCCCTGGATGCCTTGCCTCTCTCTGTTCAGCTGTCACAGTTCCCCCTTTGTAGACAGAGTGATTCCCTTGTTTGTTCCACTGTCTGCCATGCTTATTTCCTCTCAGAGTCCTCTTAGGCACCTGCTTACCCGAGAGCCTTTATGATCAGAACAGACTGGAGCTCATCGTGTTGGTGCTTACTGCCTCTCTGATAGGACTCCTTCAGTATCTGTCCAACCTGGAGCCAAGTTACATGGCTGCTGGTTATCCTACCTGAGTTTTGTGAGCTACGTGTGTTCTCCCTCTGCTTTGGAGTTCTCTCTGTTCAAAGTAGTTAGCCTAGGAGGGTTAGCACTTTAGGTGTTGTATGGAAAGGTGTGTATGAAAAATAATGCTAACAACCTCAAGACTCCAGAGCTGTTTTTCCATTTGTGTCCTAGCTGCGGTTTAGTTTGCATGAATTAGTCTTTAACACCCATATAGAAATATGCAAGACAGCATCCCTGGAAGAGGTGTTCCTCTAACTTCTGTTGAAGTTTTTCTGAACTTAGGTGGATATTTTGATTAATATTTGCCTCATAAGTCAAATTGTAATACAGTAGCATTTTCTTGGAGATAGTGTATTAATGGATGATAATTTAATTTTTTTTTTTTTTGGCCCAGAAAAGTGTAGGAGCAGCAACTGTTGTCTTTTTCTTTCAGGACTCGTGTAACTTGTGAAATATCTCTTTGCAAAGGTGTCAAATAGTCACCACACTTGGAAGGGAGAGTATTTTAAGATGAGAATGATAATCTTTCTTAATACATAGAGGGAAATGGTTATAAAACAAGGTGTATGCAATGGAAAATATTTGAGCATGCTTTCATATATGGAGGAAGCTTTTCTCTCTGCTTTGCTCACGGCTGGATAGGTTGATTCAGGATAAACATTTGTGGGAAAGGTTGGGTGTCCTGAAGTTTATCTTGGATTCTCTTTGGTTGTCTTTTCTGTAGTGTTTAAAATGTTCTGAGTGGGCTAGAAGCAATTTGTTTTTATTCTTCATGCTCATTTTAAAAGTGATCTGATTTCTGGTTAAATCTTAAATTTCTGGTGCGGCTATTTTAATCTTTTTGTTTATGAGAAGTAGTAATTGTTACCTCCCTCAGAACCTACTGCTGTATTTCAGTGAGCACTGCATAAACAGATGCAGGCGTCAGTGTGTGTATGCTCATAAAAATAACCAATAAAGTGAGGATGCCCCACACAAATTAGTGTTCAGGAACACAGCCTGCTGAACCTGAAGCCTGTGTCCATGTGTTCTACAAGGAAGGTGTCTGGTTGTCTTGTTTTGGCATTTAAGCAAAGCTGGACTTACTTTAAGCCTAAACCAATGTACTGAGCATGGCTGAACTGTTGTTTGTCATAGAATAAAACTCAGCATCACTAGATGCTATTTCAGTTTTCACAAGGATGTGTGTCGCTAACAGAAGGACACTGCCGGAAGGTGCTCTCATATATCTGAACATTGTCAGGACATATGGTAAAGGCTTACCCCAGACTGACGACAGGTTCCTAGAAATTGCTTCTGTGCTCCAGTGGAATACAGGACAGCCAAAAGGAGGGTGTTGTGTTCTATTAGTGCTTTTCCATAGGGAGAGAATAATTCATGTGTAATAAGTGAGTTCCATGAATAAGGCACTGGGAAATTCTGTATCCATTTGCTGCAATAATTTTTCATATTTCCTAGTTTTGAATTTATTGTTCCATGTCTTTTCTAGTGGAGTTAATAGCTAGGAAGTTTGAGACGGCCTGACAATGTTTTCCTATATTCAAACCGAGCACATTATCACTCTCCGTGTTCTTACCTTCTCAGCCACCGTGCTTATTTTCACAAAGCTTTTGTCAACCAGAGGACTTCTGTTCTCTTGAGGGCCACTGTTCAATTAAATTTCAGTGCTTACAGTCTTCCTCAGGTTGTTTAAGGCTTTGAAAGCTATTGGTGGTACTTTGAATGGTTAAATATTTATTTGGGTAAGGTAAAAATTAAAGTCTTTACTCGAAGTCAGTATTGGATAAGAAGTACAATCTAATTGCAGTTACCAAAAACTTAGGTTGAAATTGTTACTGCTGCTATTACAAAAGCATTCTTTGAGTTTTAAAATGTGAGGAAATTCAATTGGTGTTATCTAATGTTACACTGAGTTTAATTATGCTAATGTTTAATTTCCTTAAAACAGTCATACTCCTTAACTTGTACCTGAAAGAGTAATTTTAAGTTAGAAAAAAAAAATCAGGAATTCAGTTACCTGACCTAAGTTATGAATGCCTAGGCCTGAATGAGCTGCTTTGTTTAGGGCTCCTGGGGCATATATATGTCATAGGGCAGTAGTAAACTCGTATTTAAATCTTTTCCATCACTTTTATTTTTGCTCTAGTAAAAATTATTTCTGCTTAGTGCAAGCTGGGTATAGCAACAGTGAAAGGTTGTTGCCTGACTGGAGAGCACAGCTGGCACCTAGTGAATCTTGGAAGATGTGTTTGTGTGGGCTTCCTTGGGGTTGCTTGGGAGTCTGCCTCCTCCCCTTCTCATATTTCTATCCTTTCTCTCTTCTGGGAATGCTCAGTCCTTACATGATTTCCTGCATGGAAACTAAGAAGGGCGGTTAGTTAGCATCGGCAGTGTATTGACAAGCAGGTTCTTATTACTATAATTACAGCACTACTGAGTAGTGCAGTTTAAATATGTGACTCCAGTGTGTGCTTCAGTAGTGCTTTTAAGTACAAAGGGCTTTCATTTATTTTGTTGTTTTTTTGTACTTTACACTTTGTTATGTTCATATATTTGTTTTTCGTATGATGTGTGTGGTATCTTTTAACTATGGTTTGATGAAAACTGTACATAGAAGTTTATTGTCTTAAAAAATATTAAAGGGCTTTCATATAAATGGTCTCATTTGTCTTTTCAAGAACCATTAGGGAGGAGTCCCTGGTGTCAGTCCTCTTTTCAGATGGAGATGGCACATTGACGATCTGATTCTTGCTGAGGGTTTTCAGCCCCTGGAAGAGCCTAGACTAGGGAGCAAAGATCCTCTGTGCAATTCAACTCACTTTCTATGAATTGGTGCTGAATTTCATTTACACTTGAGTTTCCGCTAAGAGCTTTCAGAAAATATGCTGTGTTTATTGGTAATGAGGTGCTATTATCGGCCAGTCCTGGGTGCTTCCTCGGAAAGTGCAGATGACTATTTTTATACTCACATGGCCTTTAAAAATGTGAAGAACATGGATTGACAAGTAAGAGGAGTACAGAAAGTATTAAAGTATTCTACATATTCTGGTTATAAATCTCGATATTTAAACTTGATAAGGCTTATGTAGTGATTACATTTTGTACAAGTATTCTTTGTTAAATCTTTATTGGGAAGTTATCTGAACAGATAATTTGAGAGTGGGTTTTATGACCACTTCTTTTAAAGCAGTGAAGATACCCAGAGCTTCTCTGTTTGAAATTTGAATTATCATTACTCTTAACAGTAAATAGGGTGTTGTTGATACTCTACCATTTTGTATTCTTAGGTTGTATTTAGCCTTTATTCTCTGAATTTCAGTATGGTGTTTTGAAAGTGGTGGTGGTTTTGTTCTTACAAAGTGAGTGTAGAGAGGAGATAGGCTAGATCAGCCTGTGGAAGTCTCGGGTTACATGAGTTAACTCTTTCCTGAGGTAAGATTAATCAAGGGTATGCACCTAGCCTGTGAGGCTCAGAGGTCAATCCACACTGCCAGCACAAACCAAATATTGTCAAATCAGCTGCCTTAAATGGTTGTGTAAGATGTGTTTGTTACTGTAGTCTTATAAAATTGAATTTAGCTTTTGATTTATTAGGAAGGTAATATTCCCTGACATTATAGAGGATGCATGCCTTGTATAGATCTTGGTAGTTTTGCTTAACATTTGAATTAAATTTGTGTAGTTTGTTAGGCAGCTGGTTGAGTGCGTCCTGATTCTTTTGACTTCCATCCTGTTTGGGTCCCCAGGGATGTATTAAACACATACACACACACACACACACACAGAGGCATTTCTCCCATGGCAGATTTCAGATGTGCCGCATACTATTAATATCTTTCTTTCACGTGACTGAGCTCTGTGGACTTTTAGAGAACAGTTTTCCCTCAAAGTTTTCCTAGAGTTAATAGCTCGCATTTTTCAAAGGCCTCTCTTACCTCAACTTTGAGATTAATTTAATGAGACATCTGTCAAATGAGGCATCTTACATTTAATGATTTTGTTATGTGTCACATTTCATACCATTCAGTCTGCTGGGCAGGAGGAGGCTTAATTGTGAATTCTGAAAGTCCACTCAGTGGGAAAACCGTCTCTTTAAAAACACCCAGCATTTGTGAAAATTAGAAAGAGGTTTTATCAAAATGTCTCTTGACAATGTGGGCAGATAAGACCTCCTTCACCCGCCTTGAGACTGTTCCGCCCCTTAATCACATCCATCTGCTGGAGCATTGGCACCCAGGCTTTGGATCCAGCATGGTGTCCCTGTACCTCTAACTGGCACTGAGGATGCACACAGTGGCCCTCTCCTTCTGATTGGCACTGAGGGTTTGGCCCCGCATAGTGACCCTGTCCTTTCTAAGGCAGACCC